AAATAGGAGCGGCGGGGCTGCGTCCCCAGCACCCCGGCCACTTGGCTAGCTTATGCCTGAAATAACAACACACAAACTGTATTCATTTAAAGACTGCTTGGCCCATTTCTATCTAGCCTCTTCTAGGCTAATTCTCGCACCTGGACTAGCCCATTTCTAATAATGTGTGTAAGCACCCCAAGGTGTGCTTACCGGGAAGATTCTAACCTACGTCCATCCTGGGTCGAAGCTTCATTGCGTATGCCCAGGAGAGCGAAGCAGGGCCTCTGCTCCAGAGAGCAGAGCTGTCGAGAATGTCTGAGGAGTCTTACCTCACTTCCTCTTCCTCCTGTTTACTCCTCCCACCTATGTTTTAACCTATCAGGGCAAGCAGTTTCTTTAATTAATCAATGACCTTCCTCCATCACAAGAACTCACAGCCATCTCATAGGCAAAATGCATAGAGTTCATTTCTAACAGTGCCCCAAATCTTAGCAGTTTTGACATTGATCAAAAGTCCAAAGTCTCTTCTCGTATTCAAGGCAGTCTGTTAACCATGAGCTTCTTGTAAAATCAAAACACAATTTACGTACTTCCAGTGTATAATGGTACAGAGTAAACATTTCTACCTGGTCCACAAGAAAAGATCGGAGCCTGGCAAGAAGACAGACCCAAACAATACAAAACTTCACAGGGCAAACATGAAATCCTTTAGCACCATGTCTAGCTTATGCTGGCCTTATATGGACCCAAATGGACTTGGGCAGCCCTACTCCTCCACATCCACCTGCCTGTGGTACATATGGCATTTCTCTTGAGACAATCCCATTCTAAGCCTGCATCTTTCCACAGTGTACATCCAGTCTAGGAGTTTCCAGCATCTTGCTGTGGTGCTGCAGCCAGCGCAGCCAGGATGCCAAGACTGGCGGGAAGGGGGTGGGGTGTGGGGATTGAGACACGGAGGCTTCTTTTCAGGTGGAAGAACAGCAACCTTTATTTTTGCCCAGCAAACTTTTGTACCTCTACTCCTTCTGTGGAGACCCACCGGCCAGAAAGAACACAAACATCCTTGTCAATTACAGACCACAAGGAAGTTCTGCTGTCAGTCAGGGGGGGGTGAGGGCAGCTGGATCACAACGCTGTGGTAACTTGGGTTTCACCTCCTGTAGGTCAACTCAATTGCTTCACAGGGCCTCCTTACAGGGAATCCTTATCCCCTGCGATTTTCTGGAGCCTTGATGACCCTAGAAACTTTTCATTTCACATTCCTGAGTACCCACACAGAGGGAACTGTGAATTAGTGCTGTCTGTAGTATGCTCTTTCTACCTTTGGCCATTGCTGCTTTTCTGAATCTTGATGGCTGAATCTTAGAAAATACTTCTCTAAAAGATTGGTTTCAGCTGGGCAGTGGTGGCGCACGCCTTTAATCCTAGCTCTCAGGAGGCAGAGGCAGGCGGATCTCTGTGAGTTCGAGGAGCCCGGTCTACAGAACGAGTTCCAGCACAGGGTCCAAAGCTACACGGAGAACCCCTCTCCACCCCACTCCCCCTCAGCCCCCCCCCCCAAAAAAAAAGAAAAAGAAAAAGGAAAAAAAGATTGGTTTCAAACAAGGAACATCTCTAGTAGCACTCCTAGTCCAGGCATTCTCAACTCTCAAATCAATTTGCATTTTTCACAAGTTGAAATCTTTGACGTGTGATGTTTTGCATTCAGAATATCTTTCCTATTGTTCTACTGAAAAACATCAAATTTCTCTTTAATGACAATAATCTCTGAGACTTTGAGGCTAGGCAGGGGCAGCTGCTTCCTCAATTTCTGCCTTGTTTTTATCTTGACGCTTACTCCCCTGCCCGTCCTCACCACATGTACGTTTTCCCTCTCTGTGTGCTTTCGGTATAGATTTGACCACAGGAACAAGCAGCAGCCATTATACCATAGCCCGGATATTAACCTGTCCTGAAATTTCCTCCACCAAACAACTTCGCTACTTCTTAATTCTGTGTTGGTTAAATGCTTAGTTCAAGGGCAGGATGCAATCGGATTCTTTGCCGGAATGTAACACCCAGTCTCTGTTTCCCTGGAAACTTCCTTAGCCAGATCTGTTGTGTGTGCTTCTCTCGGTGCTCTGATCTTCCAAACTCCCAACTAAATGGCCCATTAAGTTCTGCCTTCGGCATCCTAGGTCTCCATTCCACTCCCGAAGCTCCAGACCGTTCTCACTCTGGCAAACCCCTTCCAAGGGCCTCATTACAGCAACAGTCCTGCTCCAGGTGCCAATTTTCTGTGTTAGTTACTTTTCTTTAGGTTACAACGAAATAACTGAGGAAACAACTCAGGGAAGACTTGTTTACTTTTGGCACAGAAGATGTGGTGGAACTCTGAAGCGCTTGGCCACAGTGTGTCTGAAGTCCAGCAGCTGAGAGAGATTAATGCTGGTGTTCAACCACCCTCCCCCACTCCCCTTTTCATTAAGTCTGGGATTCCAGTCTGTGAGGTCTTCCTGCCCACACTCAGGGGACTTCCTATGACTGGATTAAGCCTCTTCGAAAACACTCTCACAGACTTGCTCAGAGACGTAACTCCTAGTGATGTCAAATCAACAACCCAGGCAAATTAGCAATGAAGATTTTCCTTAATGGGGGACTTTATCACTTCAACATTAAAATAAAATAGGTGAACGGAGGTTGTAGGATTCCTCCATGGCTGTATGGCCCCGAGGACGTACCTAGACCCCTTTCATCAGGACTAAAATGGGTTATAAGGTGGGGATGTATCCTAGGCTGCCCAGTGGGTACTGTCATTATGGTCTCTGGCCACACCTGTACTTGCAGCTGCCCCTTAAATGTTGTGGCTTTGATGCCTGGCTCACTTCACCTAAGTCTTAGCTTTTAATTGCCAACAAAGTATATATATATATATATCACTGAAATTCTGAAACCTTCACGCTTTGCTTATCCCTTGGTCTAGAGAACTCCTCACCTAGATCCTGAACATACCCAGTAGGGACGTACACAGCATTTACTTTCACGCTCATGGGTGTCCCCCGAGTGCCTCCTTAGAAATCTGTTTGCCTGATGCCATTGTCCTTCAAGCTTCAGAGGCTCTGAGGAGAAGCAGGATTTTACACTTTCCCTGTGTCCCTAGCACCTATATCCGGGGTCCTACATAGCACGCCTTCCACAATTGTTTGGTGAACAAGGAAAGACCCTCTGGGATTAAAAAAAAAATCACTTTAGGTGTAAAAGCAGTCATTTTTGAACCCAACCACATTTTAAAAAGCAAATCTTTCAGATGCAAATGAATCCTAATTATGTTCCACCGAGGGACAATTTGCCAGTTGCTGTTGACTATGTAAGTAAAATGAAGATGAAAAAAAAATGATTTCTAGGAAAGGGATACCTCCAATGTCAGGTACATTATTATTTCAAGCTTCACCAGCTGCCAGCTAATTACCTTGGCCATAGGGTCCAAAGTAAACACAGATGTGGCAGGAGTAATTACTACTGAAAGCCAAAACAAAAGCACTTCCACTGCAGGTTGGAAGGCAGCCTTGGTGACTCTGGTAAGGGTAAGAAAGCTAGAGACAGTTGTGTGGACAGGGAGGGACCCAGAGGTCTTGATGGGAGGATGCCCGAAGGACACAATCTGAGGGAGAGGAATCGTTTGCTGGAAAAGTGATGGGAAAGTCATAGGATCTCATATCATCTAGACTTCTACCGGCGTTATAAAACAGCAAAAATAGGCAGAGGTGGCAGATCTCTGTGAGTTTGAGGCCAGTCTGGTCTACAAAGAGAGTTCCAGGACAGCCAGAGCTAAACAGTGAAACCCTGTCTCAAAAAACAAAAACAAGCAAACAAAAACCCAGCAAAAATAAAGGACAAACCCAAGACTTACTATATAAATATATATTATCTATGTAATTATATATTTCTTATCATATTTTTTGCCCAAGTAAATCACTATAAACCGGATAGTAAAAGTGAGATAGGAAGTGAAGATAATGAAATTGCTCACCCAAGGATACTTGGAGTCACTGGAGACATAGGATTCGGAGTGCTTGGGGACAGAGTCTATTCTTTGTTCCCGGTTACACTGGATGTTTTTACAGTCCACAATTACATTGGTAGATTAGCTTATGAGGCACGTTTTTTTAATTCTTTATTTTATTGGTGTTTTAGCCTATATGTATAAATGTGTGAGGTTGCTGGATCCTGGAGTTACAGACAGTTGTGAGCTGCCATATGGGTGCTGGGAATCGAACCCAGGCCCTCTAGAAGAGCACTCAGTGCTCTTAAGCGCTGAGCATCTTTCCAGTCCCCATGAGGCATTTTTGTGCCTATCACAAGCCAAGGAGACAATCACAAAAGGAAACTGCCCTCCTGTGAGCAGTTGCACAGGAGTGCTGTCCAGACAGAATGAGGATGTGACAGAGGCTGCTTCTCTACCAGGAGGGGAGCTCTCTGACCGAAGCAAGCACCGCTCAGATTCTGTGATCTTCAGTGCGTCTGTGGAACTGCTCTTTTTATATAACACCCATCCCAATAAAGTGAGAGGATGCGGAGCACTGTTTGAGGATGGGAGGCCAATGAGAGCGCTGATTGATTACAGGTTGTACTCTAGGTAAAGCAGTCATATGCAGGCGCCACACAGAACCCCCGCCCTATTGATTATATTTTAGGTAAAGCAGCCATGTACAGGTACCACACAGAATCCACTGCCCCCAAATTAGAGCTAATTCAATACAATTTTGTGTAAGAATAAAACATAACTAAAAATAATGTAAAATAACTAAAAGGCATGTGGAAAATGGCATTTCTACCTAATGGAACCAAAGTCATGTTAGTGCTAAGTATGCAATTTAATGAGTTTTCAAGGCCATCAGGATTTGATGGTGGAAAGGATATTTTCTGATATTAACGGAATTTAATTCCTAAGTATGACTGATGGCTGAAACCAAAACTGTTTTTCTGTTAAACTCAGCTTTTCTGTTAAAAACTGTGATGACTGGTTTAACTTACAGGTCGCTCTGAAGACTGGCGCATAGCACCCAGCTCCAAGACTAACTGGCGTTGGTAAGCTCGTTCATTAACGAAGTGAGAAAATCAGAATGTAGCATTCATGCCAATGTTAATGTATTTCCACCTCATTAGAGAAGTCAACACATGGGAGAAAAATACATTTAGAAGATTGCTGGGTATGGAATTTAAGCAAAACGATCGGGATGCGCACTCATCATAATTTAACTCCCTGCTTGATTGTGTGGTTATTTGTTTAAATTTCACAGTTTGCTTTTAGATTAGTTTGCCCGGTATTATCTCTCCAGTGTCTAACATGGAGCCTGGACTGCAGCAGGGCCACAGACGCTTGTCAAATGAGCGCTTTTATCAGACAGGAACGTTGTGATGCAGTCCCTTTCCCGGGACCAGAATTCTCTTGAAGGTGTTCTCCAGCCTGAGCAGTCACGGAGATAGCTGATAGAAACGCTCTTTTACAAACATACAGCCATCATTACATCATATCCTACGAATTGTCATTATGAAACTACTCTCGTCCAACTGTGTAAATCACACGTTACACCACATCATTCCTACTATAGATCTACAAAATCCCCGTGGGCAGAGGCTGCATGGACGTTTTGGTGCTTAACAACAGAGCCGGTTGTATGATGAGTATCTGTTGATGAGTAAATGATTACCTTATGGAGAACACAGACTAGTTCAATGATAGGAAATGGATGAGCTACTGTGGCCTGTTCTTACACTGTGGCAGATATCTCTGGTAGATCCTGAAGATCATTCCCATTGAGGTCAGATAGGAAGGAGCATGGCCTCCTTCTCCACCAAAGCTCCAGGGTGTATGAGTCATCTCCTGGAGTTTAGAACCCCAAGTCTGTTTTCCATCCTGATCTTATTATCTTGGCTGAGCCAAGGGAATCACGCATTCAAAGGTGTAGGCTGCTTATCATTCAATGGTAAACATTTATCTACTCTGTTGTTCAGTTCCTGCAGCATCAGCAACCAAGCGTATCTGACTTTCCTCTTCATCCTCTTCTAGTTAATTCTGCAGTGGGTGAAAAGAAACCCCCCAGACCTCATAAGACAATGCAGCATGGTGTTTTCTACAACAGAAGAACATATATGAGGTAAGCGAACTTAGGGAGGGAGAAATAGAGGGTAAAAGAAACTCAGAGAAGATTGTGTATGGGATTGTACGTAATGTTGGGGGAATAAACAGGGGAAGTTAAGGAACTGTGAGTAGGGAAAATAATATTTCATCTGATCTTCCAATATAAGGCAAGCCACTTGGGCAAAATATTTAAGGCAAGAAAGAGCAAATGTAAAGACATTAAACATGGATGCTTGTCATCTTTATTATCACCACACTGGCACGGTGGTACATTGCAATGTGGGGCTGTTTGGAAAATAATGGGTCCACATGCATTGGGATTCCTAAAGGCAGAGAAGGATTCCCTTTCCGTCCAAGAAAATGTCCATCTATACAATTGCCCAGCCTCTGTGGCTAATGAATAAAATGGCCGATGAACATATGATGCATGGCACCCTTTGCTTAGCCAATTAATAAATCCAAGCAGTCGTGACAATCAAAAGAATCCCACTGTTCCACACCCCGCAGATCCGGCAAGAGAGGTCATGGCATTTTCCACCTGTGACAGGTTTCGAGGACAAGGGCTTACATATTCCTTCCATCCATACTGGTTATGTGCCCTCAGTCTGCCCTGTTTCCCACTTTCCCAAAGCTCCTGAGTCAAGAGAAGTAAAGGGGAGCAGTTGGACAGGGTGTAGGGGAGAAAGGTATGAGGGTTAGAACAGTTCAGACCCTGTTTATGGGGCTCCTGCCAAGCCTCATGGAGTCAGAAGCCAACTCCTTAGCTGCCCAAGCCACCCGCCCCCCCTCATTTGCCTGTGGCTGCCAGTCACTGCCATCTACACTGGATGCTTTGGGGTTTCTCTGTACTTTCCCCTATTTATTCCACAGGTAACCTATGTTTAGCAGAAAGTTCTGTTAATTCTATTTCAAAAATGTACCCCCTCAGTCCAAATCTAAATGTATCATTTCTTTACCTCCCACTGCTGTCCTTTCCAAATCCGTTGGAAATATCTTGTTTACCACTGCCATAGCCTCTAAGGTCTCAGAGTTATGATCTAATAAAGTTGTGGTCCAGTAACATATACAGTAAAATCAGAGTTATGATCCAATGAAACATAGCAAACCCTTCATAGGGGATCACATCCACCCTTCCTTTCATGCCATGCAGGGACCCTAAGCTTCCTTACCCTGGGCCCAAGACTTTTTATTCATTTAGTACAGAACACACATGGCCCGCCATCTAGAGGTATTTATGTTTTAGAATGAATTGCTTGAGTTTGGAGTCTTTCACAGGCTAAAATGACCATGCCTTTCCCCAGCCCTACCCCTCACCTCATTCTCAGAAGCTGTGTCATTTTTTTTTCATCTTTCTCTGAATGATCCAGGTCCTGCACCCACCATGATGCCATGTCTTCCCATTGACTGAATTCACTTTCATTTTCTCCTCATCTGGAAAACCAAGACTTGTTCTTTAGGATCTACCAAAAGATCCTAAAGAGAGTAATACAATACACTAGTGCCTTTCCACTCCTGGGTGGCTCTCTGTCATACCCATGTATCTTTTCTACTTTAATCAAATATTTACACATTTGCTACCCATGTCTTTCTTCCTGCCCTTCTTTCTACTCCATGCAAGATGAATTTGAAGGGGGAATGGTTCAGCATCTTTATGAGAGAAAACCCTGAGACTTTAGGTTGCAACTGAAGCCAAAAGTCTGTCCTGATGATGGTACCTGTCTTTTGATGTATCAAAGACGAATCTCGGCAGGTAGACCAGAGAAGTGGCTGGAAACAGAACTGACAACTCTTCCACCTGCTGAAGTGTTGGGAGCAGTGAGACCCCATATCCTGAATTTCTTATAACCCCCAAATCTGAGTGCCTACAGCTGCTCTGAGCACGAGACCTTCAGGAGTTCCTGATGGCAGGAGAGTGGTTTCTGGTGGGTTTGGCTGGGGCGTGGCTATCTCTATATAATCTGCCCCTGAACACAATAAAGGGGGTATTCTTGGGGAATTCAAGGATGACCCTTGTTGCTGTCTCTCTGTCAGTGTGTGTCTGTGTATTTTAACCTCCAGCCCCCTTGCCCGAAGCTTAGTAACGGGGAGCCAGCACACAGAGCGCAGACACTGGGGCGCGGTGCGCGGCACTGAAGGTTTTTGGTTCTGCATGGAAATTTGCTCAAATTGGAATGTTGATAAAGCCATGAGGGATGGTATTTTGAGAAAAGAATGAAACTTTCAAACATGAGAGTTGTTTGCTTAACTAGTTGTAGACTAGACAAATAACTCAGAAACAGAAAGTTTGGAGAATATAATTCACCAAAGTCAGCTATCACCTGTGTGTTTTTTTGGTAACTCTGAGAAATCACCTCCAACTCCAGTATACGAATGAGGACAGGGGTCAGGCTTCCAGTCAGAAGCTGAAGTAAGGACGGTACAGATCTGCCTTGCATTATTTAAAAATATGAAATAGGGTTTACTATGTAACTGCTCTAAATGTCCTCAAACTTGTTTTTAAAGAAAGCTGACCTCAAACTCACAGAGATTCACCTGCCTTTGCCTCCTGAGTGCTGAGATTAAAGATGTGGGCCACCACAAACCCAGCCTGACTCACATATTTTTGCCATCTTTGTCTCTCCTCCATTTATATGGAAAGTGGTTATTGTTGATATTCCTAAGCCTGCATTGTCAGCAGTTCTCCCTGTTTTTCCTCTGTGCAGTCAGCTGTCAATGATGATAAACGGAATACTGAATGTTAGATTAGGAAGAGCAATGAACAAACTCACATCTGGAGGCAAAATCACACCACCACTCCATGGTGACTTGTTCACAGACAACAGAATGGCTCTGGAGAAGTAGATTTCAGAGGGTATTGGGGACATTGAGTGAATGTGTAAGTGACAAAACAATCCCAGACCAGTTTGGAATTATGATTAATAAAATGGTTATTTATTTCAGGGGAAAAACTTACAGATCACTATCTTAGACAACAGCCCTCTGAGCGACCAGGAATAGAGTCTAGCAGCTGGAAGTGGGAGCCAGAAGCAAGAGAGCAAGCACATGGCTACCGCTGCTTTTTAAAGCAAAAGAGACCACACCCTAGTGGGCTGGTATCTTAAAGGCTATTGGCTGAATGAGTAGAATGTTCTCCCATAGCAATTGAGATTCCAGAAGATGTAGAAATACAGTGAAGTACAAGGTGATGAACTCTGCTGGCTGGGGAGAGAAGAACAAACTGGAAGAGCCAAATTTATGGAAGGGGTCAGTGACACCACCTATGTTTTTCTATTCTGTCACTATAATAGTTGGAGAAGAGATGAAACAAAATGGTTTTGTGTCTCTAGAGTGAATCTATATTTTGTAATTTATTCAGAAGGCATGTGAATGTTATGGATAATTGCTAAGTTTGCTTTCTATATCTTGCTACATTTCGGCTCTTGTTTTCCTTACAGCTACATTTACTGGCAGATCAGCTCTTCCAAAAAGCAGAAGGTAAGATCTCCTGAGGTATCACTGAGAGAAGGAACTAGGGATGAAGCACTGTGATTTTACCTTGGAGTTCCCATGTACCAATCAGGGCACTAGGGTTCAAACATATGCAAAAGGTAAAAAACTGATGGTAGACACCATAACATGATGAAAAAAACTGGGAGTCAGATAAACAATGTCATTATACATCTTCATGAGCTACATTGTAAGTTCCCTTTGGGTGTAGAGAAGAGGTGAGCTAGAGTTAGCTGGAAGGGGAGAATAAAAACCTCAGGAAACAGAGTAAGTCAAAGGACAGTTCAAATGAAATGTGGTTTAATGAAAATGTGGAATTGCAATGTGTTGGTTTGAAAGAAAATGTCCCCCAGAGGGAATGGCACCCTTAAGAAGTGTTGTGGTCTTATTGGAGGATGTCTGTTACTGTGGAGGCGGGCTTTGAGGTCTCATACATGTGTGAATCATGCCCAGTGAGTGAGTTCGCTTCCTGCTGCCTACAAGACATAGGATTCCAGATCCCTCTTCAGCACCATATCTACCTGCACGCCACCATGGCCCATCATATTAATAATTGACTGAACCGCTGAACTGTAAGTGAACCACCCCAAATGAAATATTTTTATAATAGTTGCCGTAGCTCTTCATAACAAAAGAAACCCTAACATAACAGTAAAAGTGTCATTAAATAAATTTCAACACAGAAAGCATGGATGAGTCAGTGAATTAAAAAACTAAAACGTGAGTTGACACAAAAGGAAGAACAATTTTTTTTTAATTTATGGACTCAATTGTGATGACTATTTCATTTTCTTCTCTTGAATTTATTTAGAAGACTCAATTGCACATTTAGCTTGTACTTGGGCATTGCAAACAAGAATGAAAGTATTAGCTGTTCCTTCTAATTTCTCACGGAACATCCTAACTGAAAAAGTACAGACTAGGATTAACGTGGAGTCAAAGCAGCCTTCAAGTTTCTGATGATTTGAAGCCTTTACATAGCTTCTCCCTTTCCCTACAGCTTGGTGCATTCTCTGTCATCAGAACCCTAAAGACAGCATGTCATTTATGCCTAGGGTGACAGTCATGTGAGAAAAAAATAATGTTTTAATACGCTAAAACTATTATCCCTAGAGATACACACATAAATCCATCTTGATTTAAAAGGTACACGAGCTAGAAATTATGGCTATTATTGGCTATTGCATCCTGTAAATGTGAAAAAAATCATGAATAAAACTTTGATGATGATGGCAATGTGGACTTTATATGTCTGAGTAAATTACTTCCAACAGCGGGAGAAATCAACAGCTATTTATAATGTTAGGGTTTCTCTGAATTGCTAACGTGGGAGAGGCTTGGCTAGAAGATTCTGACTCTGGGTCTTTGAGGACAGCATCAGTTATAGGAACCTCGGCCTTAGCTGTAGTTGTCTGAGATCTCGACTGAGGCTGAAGATCTGCTGGGGTTGCGGTTCACACTGCCAGACTGTTGGGAAGAGGCCCCAGCACTTGCTAGATGTGGGGTGTCTTCACAGTGGATCCTCTCTGTAGAACTTCTTGTGTATTCTCAGGGCACGGTGCTGGTTTCCTACAGAGAGAGAAAGGCAAGACACCCACACAGGCCTTTGTGGTCAAATCTCAGAAATTCCACGCCATCAATGCTACCACATAATCTGTAGCAAGGGAGTCATTCGAGTTTGCAGTCCAGACCGAGAGGAATTACATCTTGCAGGAGGCCATCCCAAAGACTCTTGTGCATACTATATCAATCCGAATGAATTCACTTAAGATCCAAATGACAAGCTTTCTTTCTGAATTAAACACTTAGGAGTACTAGAAAATATATCCTTTCATTTGTACGACTCCAAGAAGGCTTCCAGAGCCTCGTTACATCCACTCAGTGATAATGATACACCCTAGATGTCACTACATTTCGAGTTAAGTGATTTCAAGGCATAAATACATATCAAACTTATATTTTAACATTAGCCGTACTATTTCTAGTCAGCAAGTTTTGCGCTTATATTTTAGAAACTAAGAAAGAAGAATTTAAAAATCTAATTCAAAACAATGTACGGAGCCAGTAAATATTCCCGTATTACATTCGCCAAATGTAAATCAGCTTCACTGAACCTACTACCTTTTAATAGAGGAACCAAGGCTTATCAGCTTCTTTTGTGCTTTAGTAAGCATTATAGTACTCTGAGAAACACACATGGCTTTCTTTCAGCTTTTAAATCAGTTACTGCCAAATGTGGAAAGTGTTACCCTATACTCCCTGGGTTAGGAGACACGATAGTTAATCTATGTATCAACTTGATTGGACCACAGGATGCTCACATATTGGCTTAAGCATTATTTCAAATGTCTTCAGGGAAATTTCTAGATACTATCAACCTTGAAACTTTAAACTGAGCAAAAGAGAGTGTCTACCCTGACATAGGTGGACCTCATCCAATCCTCTAGAGTCCTGAGCAACACAATGAGAGTACTTACATTCTCCTGACTTACATAAAGGAGAATGTTTTTCTAGGCAGCATTCCTTGGATTAGAATACTGACTTTTTCCTACTTTTTCATTCTAGCTGAAAATATGCTCTTCCTGGGTCTTGACTCTTCTGGCTTTTGAAATTGGACACTGTCACCAAGTTCCTGAAACCCCACCACTGCTTCCCACATCCCCTCCCTAGATCCCACAAACTCACAGCTCTGTACTGAGAAGTCCTTATAATAAAATGCCTTGTCTTCTTCCATAGTGTACACTTGTGTGCATTTGTGCATGTATGTGTGTTCATGTGGTCCATGCGTGTGCATGCGTATGGGTACATGTAAACACACACATACTTACATTTGTTCCCTGGAGAACCTTGCCTAATACTGGTAATATCATAGGGGTAGAATTGTATCTCAGTTCCCACCATGCTGAGTTTTGGAACATTCGTGCTGAAGTCTTTGCTCTGATTCTCACAAGACAAATATTTCCACCTGTCTCTTCCTGCTGGGAAGTGAACATGGCTTCCCTTCCCTGTAATAGTCTACTGTGAAGTCTACCCACCATGGGGCTGCCACTCGGAGGCAAGGCCTTGGAAGGTATGTAGATAACAAAAGGACTGGTTCTCCTCTAAGAAGAGGTGGTGGCCTGATCCTCCCCACTCCTCTCCCACTCCCCTACCATCCTTGCTCTTTACCACACTGGAGTGCAGGAGGAGGTGATCACCCTTGAACCTGGAACGAAAGCTTTACCGCTGACCTCATCTCTCGCGCCTCTAGAATTGAGAAACAAATTTCCGTTGTTTAAGTCACCTTGTCTGTAATATGACAGCCCACACTTGACACCTTGACAGCTCACTTCCTGAACGTAAAAGATTTGGGTTAAACGAACCTCATTTCCTTTCAGTTCTGGAGGGAAATTTGCAGGGATTTGTAACCCACTCTCTGGAATAGTCTATCTCCTTCTGCTTATTGGCACCCAAGTGATAATGAGTTCAGCCCAGGGATCCACATTTGATCTTCTCTCAGAGTGTAAACATTCTCAAACAACAGACCTGGACACTGATGGACCTGGAATTAGAGTGTGTAGGAACCTCCCGAGGGGCTAAACCCCAGAGCGCATGTTTCTTCAGTCCCCGCTCAGCTATGCTGCTCCTAACGACCTTTTAAACTTGGTTCTACACTTGTTGGATGCTCACTAATTCATCTAGGAAATGTATGCACTGGGGCTCATATTTATCCGTTCTCATTTGATTGGTTGGGATAAACTACACACAATACCATGGCTCCTCCAGAGCAAAGATGGTTAAGATGTGCACAAGAGGTTGAAAAATATCTGTAGCATAACAAAAAAAATCATTTTTAAAAAGAACGCCTTATAAACTGCAGTTCTCTGTTCACCGAGCCGTGTCAGATCTATCATGCTTCCACCAGACGCACGCGCCTGTGAAGTGGAGAATTACAAGCAACCAAATGAAATCAAGATTGCAGCCCACGCCTGGTGACACACCGCACATGGAGCTGGGGGTCACGGAGACCTGGCTATGGATATCGGCTTTATTAGCTGCAGGACACGGGGCTGTAGACTCAGGGCCCCTTCAAGCCTTGGTATCCTCAGCTATTTAGGACAAGAGGATAGAGGAAACAAAACTCCACCGTAGGTGGTAGCAAGAAGGATTTACTCCATGAATGGTCACCACCGTGACGGCAAGCCAACATTTCCAAAAAGAACGAACAGACCCCAGGTCATTTTAGGATTTCAGAGGAGAATTATGTCTACTTTATTGTTCTGCTTTAGTTTGCTCTATGGCTCTACCATTGCCCTGATTTCAGTAGGAGATGCCCATGCAGATACGTAGTGCATCCGCTGCAATAGGAACTTAAGACTACTAAGGACTTCCTATCTTTTGACTTGGCAGGGGAATGTCTGCAAAAACTAAACTACTAAACTACCATTGTATGACAGAAGGGGAAATAGAGCCATGTCCCTTTCCTTCCTCCTGAGGGAAGCTCCGGAGAGCCCCAAGAAGATGAAGGCTGGGGGGGGGCGAGATCTGAGAGGACATTGCCGTCTGTGCATGGTTCTCTCTGGTGGGACTGAGCCTTCGGGCTCTTCTGCAAAGCTGTGTCTTGTGGTCTGCAAGCTCTATCGTTGGAGATGAAGCATACTCCTCGTTCTTCGCTGCTTTATCCTGGTGGCTCAGGTGAAACCCAAGGCTCTTGTGCACTTGCACATCAGCAGATGAGGAGTAGTGAGCAGGTTCTGCAGAAAGGGGTGCTCCTCACCCCAAATCCTAACCAGAGCGCCCTTAGCAGGAGTGCTAAAGCTACAGATGTGCTTTATAACTTGCATGCATTGTGAATTTCTGTTTCCTTTAAGCTCTGAAGTAGTCTGTTAATGTTTTTTGATACCATGCACACCGGTTTATCGATACTTGAAAGAGTTAATTTTCTTAGCATTGTCTTGGCAGCTCATCTGTCTCATGTGGGCACAAGAGGAGGCGAAGACGCTGCCTGGCTGGCATATGTAATGTGGAAGTATGGTGTAAGGAAGCCGTTTTTCTCTCACCGACTGCGGCTGTCATGGAGAACCTGCAGAAACACACACTCGACCCATCCCAGCAAGTGCATTCTAAAATGGCACCGGGTCTCCTCTTCCTTGAGTCAAGGAATGCTCAGGGAATTAAAAACATCAAAAGCAGAAAAAGTTAAGCAGCTCCAGCAGGTACAGATCTAAGGTAAAGAACTACATCGAGCCGCAGAATCTCAGATCAAATATGCCTGCCTTTTCCTTCCGCCCTTCGGGGTCGTACCTTTGATAAAGAATTCACAGGCTGCAGTGCAAAGTCGTTTGCATACTGACAAGATTAAAAAGAATGCTTTGTCTGGGTTAAATTTACAATCTGAAACCTTCCTTTAAAATGTCAAGAAGGTAATTAATTTAAGAAGGTTTGCCAAGCAGAGTCTCCGACCCTGTCAGAAACGTTTCATTTCCTGAGGGTGAAGGGGGCGTTGCACTTTTCTTCCCCAGATGCCTGCTTTGCTTCCTGCTTTAGGACCTTTCTTCTTCTTCTTCTCCCTGAAAAGCCTTTCAGAGCTTTCTCTCTTGAGCCCCCCCCCCCCCAATTAACCTAGTATTCTTTTCTGATTTTTGTGGTTAATATTACCTAACGCAGTCTTCAAATGAGCTCTGCCTGGGGCCCCGAGTGTCAGACCTTTTGACACACGCGGGAGAAGAGCAATTTCACAGATACTCTCCGTGCCCAAACATTCAGACAAGCCTTTTGAGTAGCAGCAGGAAATGCATAAATTTAACAGCATGAAAACACGCTTTTGGCGTAGCAAAGCGTCCCTTCCCACATGTGCTTGCTAGCATGCATTCCTGTGAACGAATGTCTGAACCAGTCAAGGGGGTTTGGTTTGGCAGCTGTTTGAACCATGTTTATGGGTATGAAATTTTATTAGTGATTGTGTCCCCTTAACCGATTCCTGTGGATGTCAAGGGGATTCCTGAAGGATGTGCTTCAGTTTGGAAAGCTGATCCCGAGTTCATGGACCACAGTGCGCATCTGCATTCATCCACAGGGCAGAAACTGGTGTTAACTGGCGTGCTAGAAGTGCACCCCACTCCCTCTTAAAGTTAGAGCTCCTGGGTGCTGCAAAGCATAATAAATGCCATTTCTAAGATGCTGATCAGGAGTCTCCTCTAATTTACTTCAGGAAACAGAGGTCAGCCAAAATGTGTCATAGTCCTAAATAAGAAGGAAAACGTTTCAAAAATATGAAATTCTAAGTAAGAATTTCATGGCTTTAAAGTGGTTCTAAGTCAGAAATGCATGGGTAGGGATGGCATTGGATGCTTAGCTGTCCTTCCCCGTTACCAGCGCTTGACATGTGAATGGTGTTCACCCGCCCAAGTTCAGGTTCCTTCTGCGACCATGTCATCACAGTGGGCTCAGGACATGCTGTATCATTCGACAGCCATGTGCCTGGACGCTTTGCAAAGACAGCCACTGGACAAATTGTTTTGCCAATGGCTCACTTGGCCCTGGACGCCTGGGAAAGGAGGCCTCTCATTAACAGTTGCGTTGGGTTTTTCCTTCACTGAGCCGCTATTCTACTAGGCTGACAGTTTGCATATTAGTCTCTGGTGCTTTCATTTAAATTATTCATTATCTTTTAAAAAATATTTTTAATTGGCATACAAAGTAGCAGATTTCATTATGACATCTTCCTACACACTGGGTTTAGCTAATCCTCCTCTGCTCCCTCCCTGTTCACTTTCATGTCTGGCTTCTCCCGTCAGTCTCCACACGCTCTTTCCTGAAAAACCCTTTCCTCTCTCACATTTGTATTCTAGTTTCATGGCCTAAAACCGCATTTATTCTCACATAAAAATACATATATTAAAATTAAAAGCTAAGATTCCTATGTGAGAGAGAGCATGTGTGCTATTTGTCTTTCTGAGTCTGGGATACCTCACTCCATACAATGGGTTTCCAGATCCACCCATTTCCCTGATAATTTTGGAATTCCATTTTTATTTACAAGAATAAAATCCCATTGTTGACCTTTTATTTGTTTTGAATTTTTTGAAAGTCGTGGCATTATAAATTAAAAGCAAGTAAGACAAAAGCATAAATGAGATAATCCTTAGTTTTAATTAATATAAACACAAACAAGCTTACAGCTAGGTAAGGGCTGGAATAGAGCTCAGCTTGATCCCCAGAACTATATAAACTGTACATGGTGGTACCCTCACGAGGTGGAAGAAGCAGCATTAGAAGTTCAAGGTCAACCTCAGCTACCTGTAAGTACAACTTTAGGCTGGCTGCACAGGGATGTCTTTTTTTTTTTTTAAGGCAACTTAAGTTTAAGAAAAAGTTATATTATTATCTGGCATTGC